CATCTCCATTTATTTCTGTGAGTAGTTTGTCTATCGTGGGTATTTTATTTCTGAAAAAGTACTCATGCACTTTCCTCCTGATTGCATGTTTATCAGCATCATCTATTGATTTCATAATGGTTTGACGATTCTGATTTGTATTCGGTTTGGAAAATGTATGATTTTGTTTATATTCCCGTAAAACATTGTAAATCGAAGCGCAACACACTCCAATTTTATCGGAAGCTTTCGATACGACTTCGTCGACAGTCGATGTCTCAATTTCTTCCATCTTTTTCTTGAACATATTTGAAATCACTTTTTTCATCTCAACACTCAAATGTCTTTTTTTGGATCGTTTCCTGGCTGGACTCAGAGGATAGCTCACAGTGTCATCAGCAGTGTCTGTACTGGACATCTTGGAAAACATTTTTTAACAATATACTATAACGCACGCCACACAAATACGCAAACGACCGATTACAACCCTGTGCTGGTACCGAACTCGTACCAAGAAGGCGAATTCACCAATGAACGCTGCCCTTTCCATCTGACACTGGGCGATCACGTGAACATCACGCTTCGATTTTGTTTTGTTTTACTCTATCTTGGATTTGGATAGACTTTAGTGTAATTTAATTTTCATATGAGAGTAATTATTTCAAAAGGGATTTTTCTTCAAATTTGCATCCTGTGGAAACTTCGGTATATGATCTATATATTATCTTTATGAACAGTTTTTATTGGAGTCATTTTCTATTTTTTTATTTGGAAGACTCCCACATTTTTTGTTTGATGATAGAGAAGTAATGATGATTCAGAAAGTCAACAAGTTTTCCCCCAAAAAAACTAATCCCTCTTGAACTGTTTCCTTTTTAGTTGAAATAGAAAGATTAATAATCGAATAGTTCTCTTATACGAGTATTTGTTTATATAATATGTGAATATAATATTATAATATATAAATTTGAACTAATACTAACGCAATTATGATATAAAAAATGTGGGAAACGAAAAACTTCATAGTGACCTTCACTGCTGAATCATGTCCTAGTACGGACTGAATCTCCAAGTTTTCTTTTGAAGCGGGTTAGGATTTTTACATACAATCCAAACCATATAATATATACGATAATCCAGGTTATTTCAAAAACTTTCTGGAAAAGCAGGTATTCTGATAGTCAGATGAAGATCGATATAATTTTTCATGTGCCGTCGCAAAAAAAAACCCGTTTGAACGATCTCCACTCTGTATTTAATAACATTCAAATATATCCGTTCGACTATCATTTCAACATTCCAGAGGAGGTGAACACATTTTTCAGGCCATTACTTTTCGAAGCTATTGTGAAATTTGTTATTTTAAATATTGTATATTTTTTCAATTTTACGAATTAATTCATGATATCTTTATGGATTTTTAAACTTTAGGAACGAGCAAAGCGATAATCAAATCACTATTTGTTTATAATTTAGTGGGTTATTTCAATGAAGGAAATATTGCCAGTCCACCTTCTTTATCAATCCTGGGTAACTGATTTGGACCAATAAGTCAAGATTTTCGAAATAGTAAACAACTATCAAAATGGGTGGATTACGGTCGCCATAATCGTCTACCTAGAGAACTATTCGCGATGTGGTGGAATAATTTGAATCCAGTGGTTCAGTAAAAGATCGACTAACGAAACGCAAGATATGCCGAAAACTTAGTCGTTGTCTGTGAGAGTGTGCAGGAGAATCCGAGGGAATCGATTTTGCGTCGCTCACAAAAACTCGGCCTTTTGCAGGCCACAACTTAGTGAATTTTGCATCTTGCTTCGGACTTGCACCAGCACCAAATTCAATTGACCCAGGAACTGAAGGTAACCGACCATAGACAACGACGTCTGTTGGCTGAATGGACTCTGGAGCAGTTGACAACTGACACTAATTTTCGTCGGAAAATTATCTTCCGCGATGAGGCCCATTTTTGGATGAATGGGTACGTGAACAAAGTGACGATTTAACGCCACTCTCCCAATGGTGAAGTCATTCCATTCAATAGGGAGGTGGAATATCTTGGTCCGTGAACAAAGTGGCGATTTGACGCCACTTTTCCTCAATGGTGGGGTCACTCCATTCGAGACGGAGGTGGAATATCTTGGCACGTGAAAAAAGTGGGGGGGCCATTCCATTTAAAACGGATGTGAAATATCTTGGCAGGTGAACAAAGTGGCGATTTAACGCCACTTTTCCTCAATGGTGAGGTCATTCCATCCGAAAGGGAGGTGGAATATCTTGGCACGTGAAGAAAATGGCGATTTAACGCCACTTTTCCTCAATGGTGAGGTAATTTCTTTGGAAACGGAGGTGGAATATCTTGGCCGTGAACAAAGTGGCGATTTAACGCCACTTTTCTTCAATGGTGAGGTTATTCCATTCGAGACGGAGTTGGAGTATCTTGGCACGTGAAAAAAGTGGCGATTTAACGCCACTTACCCTCAATGGTGGGGTCATTCCATTTAAAACGGATGTGAAATATCTTGGCACGTAAACAAAGTGGCGATTTGACGCCACTTTTACTCAATGGCGAGGTCATTCCATTCGTAATGGAGGCGGAATATCTTGGCACGTGAAGAAAGTGGCGATTTAACGCCACTTTTCTTCAATGGTGAGGTAATTCCTTTGGAAACGGAGGTGGAATATCTTGGCACGTGAACAAAGTGGCGATTTAACGCCACTTTTCCTCAATGGTGAGGTCATTCCATTCGAGACGGAGGTGGAGTATCTTGGCACGTGAAAAAAGTGGCAATTTAACGTCACTTTTCCTCAATGGTGAGATCATTCCATTCGAAAGGGAGGTGGAATATCTTGGCACGTGAAGAAAGTGGCGATTTAACGCCACTTTTCCTCAATGGTGAGGTCATTCCATTCGAGACGGAGGTGGAGTATCTTGGCACGTGAAAAAAGTGGCGATTTATCGCCACTTACCCTCGAAGGTGGGGTCATTACATTTAAAACGGATGTGAAATATCTTGGCACGTGAACAAAGTGGCGATTTGACGCCACTTTTCCTCAATGGTGAGGTCATTCCATTCGAAATGGAGGCGGAATATCTTGGCATTGTCTTTGATAAAAAACTTACCTGGAACGCTCATTTTGAAAAAGTTTCACACAAAGCCAGACTTGGATTTGTGGTGGAACTTGGGGTTCAAATCCAATGGATATATGTGATGCTTGTCAGGCCAATGATCACTTATTGTGCAATTCCTTGGTGGCCGAAGGCTTTACAGCAAACGGCCCAAGCGAAGCTCTCTGGCTTACAGAGACAGGCTTGTCTGGCTATTAGTGGTGTCATCAGTACCACACCGTCAGAGGCCATGGAAATCCTTCTAGATCTACCTCCTCTCCACATTTTTCTGGAGAGAGAGGCTAGATGGACGACTTGTGCACATTACCAATTGCACAAATCGATTTATTACAGAGCGCAACAGACTGCTGGTTAACATTTTGAGTCACAGCAATCTGGAAATGACCTCTGACTTTATAATTTTTCTGTTAATACTAACAACAATAAAAAAAACTAATGAAAATCTAGTTGTATGAAATGCTCATTTACATGAAAATTATTTTATTGATCAGTTGAGTTGAGTTGAGTTGAGATATCAGAGGAGTTGAGGCAATGTGTGTTCCACGAAATAAAGTGGTTCTGTGGCGGGGTGTAGTTAGTTGACTTCTGAATCTCAGATTCAAATTATAGATGTCTGTTCTATATCTTATTTTGTCGTGAAGATAACTGGGTATGTTTGTTGTTATAATCTTATGGTAGGTGATACAAGCATAAAATACGCGTTGAGCTTCCATTTTCAGCCATCCCAGTCTCACCAAATGATGAGACACGTGTTGTCCCCTCCTTGTTTCTGTAATCATCAGATAAACGTAACGCTGGGCCATATACTATATCTGCGTAGTTGGTGTGAGAGAGAACTAGGGCATCGCATAATATTTTCTTAGATTTGAGCATATTGATTTCAAATTACTATAGCCACGTTTTGAAATTTGGAAGACATAGGAGTTGAACTTGAAGGATTGGTCAATTATGAGACCAAGATTTTTCGTAGATTCTGTCAAAGGCAACTGATGCTTGTCCAGAACGATAACGATATTTCTCTCACATTTTTTCCTCATTGCTGTTCGAACAAATAGTATTACTGTCATATTACTGTCAACTGTCAACTTCGAACTACTTTATGAAGTACTGTTCCCGAGTAGAGAGGACTGGATCCTCCGGGAGAAGGAAATATTAAGCGCAGACAGTTGTTGGTTCACAGATGAATCTGTTTTTCTGGCGCAGGTGTTTTTAGTCGCAGACCCAGGACAGAGATATCAACCTGCCTGGGAGCCTATGCGACTGTATTTCAAGCGGAAATTTACGCTATTGGTTTGGTTGCGGAGAGATTGGAAGAATCCAACCTCATACACAAGTCAATGAAAATATTCTTGGACAGTCAAGCGACTTCACCGCAACCCGCAAGGGTTGCGGGTGGCGTCAATGGATCTTTCTAACGAATGGAAAATTTCGATTAAATTTTAATTTAAAGACAGGAAGCCCCTAATAAAAGGCCACAAATTTTTTGATCAATGAATTTCAATTAGCGTTAGTTATTTTCTATCAGATAACAAGTTCACATTTTCGAAAAAGATATATAATTTTGAAGTTTGGATAATATCACATAGTTTAAATTGAAAGGGTATATTTCTGGGAGAGATTAATTTTTGGGCCTTCTACTCAAGATGGAGAAGTGGAAGGCCAAAAACTTTCTTCCCCAAAAATCATATATTTCATTCAACGCCCCCTCTCTCCAACGTTTCTGACCTAACGCGACCGCCTCTGAAATAATTTAAATCAATTTCCGCCACCAACGCCTTTTCCGACTTACTCAAAAATAACGTTTCCACAATATTTCACTTAGACTTCTCCTTGCGACCCCATCCCCACGTGGAAATAAAACGCAGCTGTGAGATTTGTTGTTTCCAGGTTCCAGGATACCGAGCATTAATCCCTTGGGATAGTGCAATGGCAGTATGGATGGCGAGAACCGCATCATATTGAACGTCGGCGGGATTCGCTACGAGACATACAAGGCGACTTTGAAAAAGATACCTGCCACAAGACTTTCTCGACTCACCGAAGCCTTGGCCAATTACGATCCCGTTTTGAATGAATACTTCTTCGATAGACACCCAGGAGTGTTTGCGCAGATCCTCAATTATTACAGGTGAGTTGATGGTCTTCAATATATGTCCAAAGTTGATGTGGGCGACTAACGGGTTTCCCATACTTTCAATAGTACTTGATCGAATCACGTATACAGTGCATTTTCTAAATGCCCCCCTTTTTATTCTTTTAATGGGTCAAATCAAAAAATGGAAATCTGGGATAATAAAATTAGTGCATGAATACTTTATTTAATTTCCTGAAGACAAACACATTAATATCGATATATCTAGAGATAATGACGTTACTGTGTTCGAAAATGATCGGCGTATAATATCGGATAGGCTGCTCATATGTCTAGAAGTTCAAGGCAACCATTTCGAGCATCTTCTAAACTGACCTCAAGCTTATTACCTCATATTATGTAGTTAAATGACAATGTATTCAGGCAATTATTGAAAGTTCCGCCATTTTGTAGCAGTTGAAGATATTGACATTATATTCTAGGGTTGTGAAGCATTTGTCAGGAGCTTCAAAATAATGTGTCATGAGACTTTCAAGATGGCGGCCAGTCGCCATCTTGAAAGTTTCATCTGTCAATTTCACTTCAAAGTGAAGTATTCATGCATTAATTTCATCATCTCAAATTTCAATTTTTTGAGTTGACCCGTTCTAAAAATAAAAGGGGGAGACATTAAAGAAATGCACTGTATACGACAGAAGCTGTTAGGTTTTCGTGGTCATGGCCTACCACATCAGTATTTCCCACCCTTCGGTGGTTCTGACTGGGCGTTCTTCTGAGCAGTCCATCAAATGTGGAGTGTCTCAAAGCTCGACCCTCGGCCCAATTTTATTCCTTCTTCATATACATGAATTAGCTCTTACAGATATAACAGCCTCAATCACCCTCATCGCTGAAGACACTACCATATTATGGCACAATAAGGATAACGCGTGAGATCATCTCTGAAGACATAACAAAAAAATTAATAAAATGTGTGATTTTAATAAGTTATCCTTCAATAATAATGAAACCAGCATTCCTACTATTTGCTGCACCTCACCTGAGATGTACCTTGGTTATGAAATCTTAAAAAGTATACATACTCATACATTTCTTGGGCTGAATATACATGGGTTGAAGAGTCTCGGGGCCTAACACATAGATGGCGTTAGTCTTAGTGCATTTACCGGTTTTCAAGTCAGAAAGAAAAAAGCTATTGAAATTTCATGATATTCTACCCATAAGTATGTGTGTTACTGTGCTAGATTATATTAGATTGTCGTGGAGCTGGCCCATGGTCTGATTCTCTGCGACCTCTTCAGATCTATTGTGATGCTTCTTGGCTGTTAGAGCTCATTTTCTAGCTTTATCTCTTTGATGAGACTCCATAGCCTTGACATTGACCCCTTCATATAGCTGACAGCTTTTTTTCCCTTCCCCGCATCTTGCCTGTCTCAGCCTTGCCATCGTTTCGCATGCAGTGTGGTTTCTTCCTCTTCTGGACAGAACCTGCATTGGGTTTCTTCTGTCAGACCCATGTTTCCTGAGTCGGCTATGCCCCATTAGTAGACCCACCACCACCCTTACAACCTTATGGTTGTGGTTCAGCAGGTCTTCCGTGAATCTGGGCGATGGTTTCTTTATGAACTCTTTCGCCTGCCCCATTCCTGAGAGCTAATTCCACCAATCTATCGATTCGACTTGCATCCATGAGTTTATAAATGCTTTCGCTACCCCGCAGAAGGGTTTTGGGTCGATCATAGCCGTGGATGCGCCTACACGGGCTAGAACACCGGCCTCCACTTTGTCCTTGTGACCCTCATGTCCGGGTACCCAAGCTAGAGTGATCCTATTTTGGGTAATTGGCTCCTTGATTGCGCTCACACAGCTTCCCAATAGTTTCGAAAAGACTTGAAATGGGCTGAGCGCCTTAATTGCCGCCTGGATGATGGCAATGGTTTTATTTGTGACCTTCTGCCTCTATTTCCCCTATACAGTGTTCGATGGCAGCTACTTCTGCCTGGAACACAGTTGTATTATGTCCGAGGCTGAGATTCTCGTCTTTGCTCTGCCTCCGTATATACCAGCTCCCACTCCTTCTTGGGTCTTTGAACCATCTGTATACCAAGTCTCCTCCGCTTTTACCGGTGAGCCGTTTTGCCAATCCTCTCTTCTTGGTATGATGATTGTGATCATACTGTCTTAGTATTGGATCTGCTTCCATTTCATTGTAAAGTTTCAAGTATTCTGCAACGTGTGACTGCCCCTGCATTAGCCAGTGTATCATCAGTCGAGCTTCTCTTTGTATCTAGATGTGCAATGGTGGAAGTCCGAATAAGACCTCAAGTGCTGTAGTTATGGTCGTTCTCTTGGCTCTCGTGACACTTAGTCACGCCAGCCTTTGTATGCCGCCAGATAGCCTAGCCTTACCCGATTGCTTTGTTTTTGTTCACCAAGTCACTACACCGTATGCTATCATGGGTCTCACTACCCTTATATACAGGGTGTTAATTGAGTATGTACCATAAATTCAACAGACGATTCTTTAGGCAATTTTAAGGCGAAACGTTCATATAAACATGGGTCCGCAAATCCTTCGTTCTCAAGATACAGATTGTTGAAATAAAAATAAAAAAAAAGTTATTCGTAAATATCTTAGATATCCTTTACCTGATTTTGTTGTGATTTGACAATGGTATTTATAACGTTAAGGAGCTAATTTAGCCCGAACGAAGTCCAGTGGCGTCTCGAGCGAGATTTGAACGAATATTTTTGACTTAAAATGTACGCCACTGACTTTTGTGCAATTTTCGTTATTCCTTTCGATTAAGCAATTAGAAATACAACTTTTTTGTTTCTTGAATTTTTGTCGTATCTTGCTCAGTTTTTGAGAAAAAAAGTCGACCTAATTGCATATCCCTGAACCTCACAAGGAATAATATGGGGAATTAAATGTTTTTTTTGGAAATTATTATTTTTACAATTTTTCATTACTAATTATGTAACAATAACAACAAATATTAAATAACATTAACATCTAGACTAACGAATTGCACTAAATTAAGTGTTGGAAATGGCCTCCTCCGGCTTCAATATAACCGTCTAGCCGCCGCTTCATTGAATTTCGCACACTTCTGAAAATACCTGGCGTATTTTTTATTATGTCACATGAATTAATGATTTTATTCCGTAAATCCTCTTCACTTTGAATAACAGTGCTGTATTCCAACGCTTTAAGGTGTCCCCAGAGAAAATAACCTAAGGGATTCATTTCGGACCAGCGAGGTGGCCATGAGTGTGGGCCTGTTCTCCCAATTCAGCGATTATGGTAAAGTGTGGTGGAGCACCATCGTGCATGAAACACATACGGAATCTTTCCATGACTGGAATTTATTCTGAAAGTCCAGGTAAAACAAATTTTTTATCAAGGCGTGTGGATTGTTTTCGGCCCAAATGTGATTGTTGTGGAAGAAATCTGGATTTCTTCTTATTTTACCGCGTAACCAAATAGAAAAAGCTAGTCTTACAAACAAATCTCTGGGCAATCTTTTGAAGCTGCCTGTTTCAGAAAGTCGTTCATGGAGACATACAAAAGTTCTTCTATTAGGCACTACACGCTGAGGAAATCTTTCATGGTAAATGCGTCTTGCAGCATTCGAGTTTCCGTGAGCCAACAGAAATGCATATCTGCCATTTCACTGTTAGTGAATTGAACCATGTTTTACAAAAATGGTTTGAAAAATAACCACTTAACACACTTTTTATAACAATTATAAATTAAAAGCTTATAAAGTTGACAACAATTGTCAAGTTGTTTATTTAATGCTGCAATCGTTTTCCAAGGCAACCCTTGATTATTATTTATTTTCAGAAGAGTGCGAAATTCAATGATGTGGCGGCTAGACGGTTGTTTTGAAGCCTAAGAAGGCCATTTCCAACACTTAATTTAGTTCAATTCGTTAGTTTAGATGTTAATGTTATTTAATATATGTTATTATTGTTACATAATTGGTAATGAAAAATTTTAAAAATAATAATTTCCAAAAGAAACATTTAATTTCCCATATTATTCCTTGTGAGGTCCAGGGATATGCAAATAGGTCGACTTTTTTTTCTTAAAAACTAAGCAAGATACGAAAAAAATTCTTGAGACAAAAAAGTTGTATTTCTAATTGCTTAATGCAAAGAAATAATAAAAATCGCACAAAAGTCAGTGGCGTATATTTTCAAGTCAAACATATTCGTTCAAATCCCTCTCGAGACGCCACTGGACTTCGTTCGGCAAATTACAACAAAATTAGGCAAAGGATATTTAAGATATTTACGAATAACTTTTTTTTAATTTTTATTTTAACACCCTGTATCTTGAGAATGAAGGATTTGCGGTCCCATGTTTATATGAACATTACGTCTTAAAATTACCTAAAGAATCGTCTGTTAAATTTATGGTACATACTCAATCAACACCCTGTATAATCAGAGTGTCATTTTTGGGTCCAGCACCCAGTTTTTATTGTGCTGAAAGTGACACTACTTTTATTATTTTCAAAACAATGGATCAAAAATAATTTTGATACTGTTTTTAATTCCAGACACAGGTCAAAAAATTTGTAGGAGATATTTTGCAAGTTTTTCAATAAGTTAATTCATTAGACTTTGTCAAAACAGGTTTCATGACACATGACACAGGCAAGCAAAATCATCTTCGAAGGAAAACGCCGCGTTATTCTTCAGAATTTATTACCATTTCAAGTTTGACGTAAATTGAAATCCCACATGCCGGATCAGTGGAAACGAGAATCTTTTGACACCAAACGGTGGAAGATGGAATGAATGCCAAATCGCATTCCTGAATGAATTTCCAGCTCATCTTTCAAACTGGAAAGTAATAATGGTTTCCAGGCAGCAGAGGTATATTCCACTCATTCTCAAACAGTTCACGGAAACTGGGCGTCTATTGAGATTCATTACATGAATTAATTTTAGGTGGTTGAATTCCTAAAGGATATTTTTTTGTGGATATACATGTCACGTGTCTGTTATTCATATTAGGGGTC